GGTCCCACAGAGATAAACACAAAGCATGCATCACCACGAAGGAGCAGAACCAACATAGGCATGGCGCAACGTGTCGACCGCGCCGACGGCTTCACGCACTGCTGACCTGTGAAGCATGCATTAATGAGGAGGGGGGATGTGGAGGAGGTGAAAGGTCCGTGAGCCTGGTGAACCCACCGCCACAGGCCAAGGGAGAAGAAGAAGAAGAAGAGTAAGAGGAGGAAGAGGAACTTACATCATGGAGACAAGCAGAATTAGAGTCCCCAAGGAGTTGTTAGTATGACAGTGTGGTTCTGGATCAGCGGACAGGAAAGAGGAGGGACAGAGCGAGCCGAGAGAGGAGGAAGAGGAGGAAACGGGGGAGAGGAAGGGAAGATATAGAGCAGGAAATGTTATTTTATAAAACTGAGCAACGGAAAAGAAGGATTTGCAAATTGAAAGCAGACATAGGGTGGCGAGTTGCAGCCTCCAGATCATAGAGCAGTTAAACAAACCTGGAATAAAAAGCAGCAGAGGAAACAGCTAACTTCCATGTCAGCGAGTTTTGAGATTAAATAACAAAAATCCTGTAGTTTCCTTCCAATTAAGTGGATTTTTATTTATGGTTTTCAATGTAAAAATCTGAAAAGTGTGGTGCACATTTGAATTTAGCCTCTTTTACTCAGATAACTTAAAATCAATTCTGATTACAAGACAGGCTGAAATAATTGGTTGTGATTAATCGTCAACTAAATTAGTGATTGATTAATATTTAACTGGCATAAACATACTAAAAGGTAATTTGCTGGAAGAACAACACACTCAGAGCAGCATGTAAGCCAAAAATCTGAAAAAACAAACAAACAAGCAAACAAAAAAAAAAAAACATCTTACAACCCTTAGTCTGTATATATGTTGCACCCAGAACTCCTCAAGTGGCAGTTTTGGCTTCATCTGGTTGAAACACTATAAAACATTCCAACGTCAATGTCAACTTATTTATAAATTGACCAAACATAATTGGTAAGATTTTGTGTTTTTGCAGTGTAGTTGTGATTAGCTTCGTTTATAAATTTTATTTCATAATCTTTTGGTTGAGGTGTTACCATTTTTTGGATAATTATTCCCTCTGGTTTTGGAGGGATTTTTGCTCCAACACTTATTTACTTTCGGACAGTTGTTATGACGCGTAACCATGGCAACAAGGTGTCGTTTTTACAACTGGGAGCATCTGATTAGCATCTCAAAAGCAGAAATACTACCTGCATTATGACACAAAAACCCAACTTTAGGGTCTCTGTTCAGCTTGCTAGCCATACGGCCAGACAAAGATTTAAAATGAGGTGGCAAAAGCAAATGAGGTGGATTAGCGATGCTACAGATGCTGTCATACAGGACATGTTGCTGTGAAATATCGTCTCTGCTACCTGGAAATTTAGCGGTTAGCGTAACAGTCATGAGACCATCATGTAGCAGCACTCTGTAGTCAGAGGCCTCTTCAGTTCCGCAGCAACACTGACTGCTACTGGAAATCCATCACCGTAATACACAACAACTCTTTAAGAATACAACATGTAATTTCCTTACAGGATAAAGTATTTTGATATTGAATTGACAAACATTATCAGTTTATATATCCGTATAGTGAATGCGGATATATTTTCTCTGAATGGCTGAAGCTCTGATTTCATCAAGCCACTCAAACCGCAACTGCTTAAGCATTCTGGTTAAGGATTTAATTGGACTTCAGTGATATTTGTAGGGCTGGGCGATGTGGTTCTCTTTCATATCAGATGTGATTTTTATCCCTTTTTTAATAAATAAAATTACAAACAGAAAATGTTTTCAAAAAGGGGTTTTATTTCTGAAATGCTTCAAAAGTTAACTGGATTTAATGTCACCAGCTCAGTAGCAGTTTTTTTTAAAATTCGAAATAGACTAAGTCATATCCACTGCTATTAGTAATAATTTGATGCTAACATGTTAGAAAACTAAGTACTTCCTTGTTTGTAAGATTTATACCAAAGTATAAATTTACAAGATGTGCAACATTCCTCATTTACACTTTTTATTCTCATAAAATTTCCATTTTATTCTTCTAATATTACAGAATTATTCTTGTAATATTATGACTTTGTTCTTGTCAGTAAAAGAAAAAATAACTGTAGTTTGCTGGACGATATGATTGAAAAAAAAATCACGATATAAGCATTTCATATAAGTCGATATCGATAAATGTATATACTGATAATTATTTATTCACTTTTTTAATATATATATATGAAATTCTGCCAAACTGGTGACATGCTCTTTCCTGTTTCATCCACAGTTTTCAATCTAAGCTGTTGTTTTTTTATTTTTCAGCAGTTAAGGCGGAACTTTAAACTGCTGCTGCGTAAGTTACTCACCAAGTTGTTGCTAGGTAACCACAGAATGAGTGAGTTGCTAGGTAACCAAGGAGTGAGAAAGTTAGTTAGCTGAAATTGAGCTGTTAAAATCTTTCCTCTGCCTACATCGAATGTTGTGAGGTTCTTGATCGGAGTTCAGAGAATATTCTATATATTAAACATTCGATCAGATGTATTATCTATTGATAATGATCATGTGTCCATTGCAATATATATATTGTTATTGATTTATGGTCCAGGTCTATCTGGCCCGAAAAAATTTTACCTGAATTCAACATTCAAGTGAATAGAAGCTCTAAAATAAGATGGACGCCCTGGGCATCACAGAATCCTAGAAACACAAGGAACTTATCTTCCAAAACTTAAATATTCAAATATCAAATAATCAATAAAATAACATTGAATTATCACCCAGCCCTAAAAGATTAATAATTTCACTCTTAAGCTGTAAGTCTATTGACGTCACAGCTCCAGTTATCAGCAAAGTGAAGCATATTTCAGTAAAAGTCGGAGCTCAGAGGACAGACTACAAGCAGCAGGAATATACAGAGAAGAAGAAACTCCCAGCATGCAGCAGAGGAGAGAGGCTCAGTGTTTCTGAGGAGAGCTAAATGTTTTAACATTACCATCGCATCAGTCAGTGCTTTCAATCTGAGAGAAAAAAAAAATCAACATTTTAGTGCATGTTCTTATCTGGACTACGACTGAAAACTTGTTTGTCTTCAAAGGGAATCCGAGGCGATGATGTCAGTGTGTCATAAAACATGGCCGCCAGATAAACTGAATGATGAAGCGCTGAATCCAGGGCGTCTGTATATTTACCTCCATACATCCAGACTGTCCTCTGTCCGTCTCCGCCGTCCGGACGGCGTCCCTGCCGTGGCCGCCCTGTCCGCCTGCCTGCAGCCGCCGCTCCTCCCTGAAGCTCTGCTCCTGCAGCTTCTTGTTCAGGATACGCGCCGCGTTTTCAGCCAGCGTGTATCCCGGTGGCGCGGACAGGTCCTGCCGGATGCTGACCACCTCTGGGTTCCTGTCGCCCTGAGTCTCCACGATCAGCTGCACCGGGCTGGGCGAGCGTCCCCTGGCGGTGGCGCCGTGAGCCGGGCTGGGCTCTGCGGTGACTGGCGGCGTCGGCCGGGAGCGGCTGGGGGATTTGTTGAACTTCTCGAAGACGACCGGCGTGTGGTCGATGATGTTGAAGAGGCTGGAGAGGCCGTCGTTGATGGTGGTGTGGACGGGGCTGTCCCGGGTGGTGGTGGAGCGCGCCCACGCCGACTCACTGTTGCCCTTCTGGGGGGTGGAGGGGGTGGCGGTAGGGCTGTCATGACAACAAGAACCAGTAATTATTGCGATAAATGATAATATTGTTGTTTTGAGACCATATTCAAATAATAGTTTGATCAGTTCTTCCTATTTTGATCTTCTGTTTTAGAGCCTCTTGTCACTTTAAATCCAAATAAGTTACTGCTGGCCACGCCGCCAAATCAACGTTTACATTCGCAAGTAAAATTGGCTGCAAACAGATGTGCAATTATGCAACCGTGCATCTTTGAAAAACAGAAGTGGAGCCTCCTGCACAACCAACAACAAAGTAGCAAGCGGTTTCTGGATGATAAGTCAGCAACAAAACACTTGTCTTTTCCAGGAGCCTTTGTACAGCACAGACAAAACCAGCTGACCAAATGTGCTGGAGTTGCACTTGGGTTGCTAGGTAACAGGCTAGGCTTTGGGGGTTGCTAGGTAACAGGCAGTGCCTTCTGATTTGGGACATTACATTCCAGAGATTTTTGAAACCCCTCATCTTCCAGGGACCAAAAAACTTTAATTTACTGCCATAAAGCAGCTGGGTGATTTCTTAAAATGCTTAGATTGTTTTTAGAAGGAGTAGAGACCCAAATGAAAGCGAAATGTGAATTTTGCATACATCCAGCTCATCTTCAATTATCATTAATTGCTTACGTGGCAGCACGGCTGTTATTTGTCGGCTCGTTCTTCCCGGACGTGGACGGCTTGCGCTGCAACTTCGGAGAGCCGTATTTGGGCGAGCAGCACGGTCGCTCGAACTTGCTTTGCACCACCGGCGAGTACTGCACCTTCCTCGTGCCGCGAGACGGAGACGAGATGGGCGTGCCGCCACCTTTCGGTGTGAGGCAGCGGTGGGGGCTGCTGGTCAGGTTCCGCAGCAGGTCCGTCTGCAGGCCGACGCTGATGGTCTGGGTCGTCTGGGTTCCTCGCGTTGTGAAGCCGTTGGTCTGGCAGGCGGTGTCGCGCACCGCCAGCCCTGGCGGGGAGCGGATGGCGTTGCGGACAGAGATGGCCACCTCCTTCATGTCATCGCTCAGGTTTTTCTGAAGCTGCAACTCCAGAGAGGAGGCGAAACCCACAGTGGAGCAGATGGGGGACGTGCTGGGAGACGTCCGGAGTCCGCCGCCCTCCAGGAGACACGGCCACCGCGGACCGCTGAACACCTCGTCTGATCCTCCGGCCTCTCTGCCCAGCCGCGGTTTGCTACCCTTTAGTGCTGAAACAATTAATCAGATTAGTAGAGACAAATCGATTGTTGAAATAATCAGCAGATAATTTTGTCATCAATTAATCATGAGTGTGCAGGAGTTAATTTATTTTGTTTAGTCAACAAGTTGTTTTTCCAGACATTTATTGGTGTGTTCAGTTCTGTTACGCTGCAGTTGGTGGTTACCATAGCAACCGGTAACTGGCAGCTCCTCCCCCTTTTTTCTGTTGCCGTCGGTAACTGAGGCATGTATTAGGATCAGCTCAGTGTTTTGTTTATAATTATATCTCCCAGTTCAAATAGTACTTTTTTAAAATCAACATTAAGAAGTTATTTTCGTAAAACAAGCTCCTGTGTCTCGCTGAAAAGTTACTTGTAAGTCAGTTTTGTTTTATTTCCAGTGTATTAAGATATTTGAACTAGATAAAAACACTTGGTGACATTTTGTGCTTTACAGTGTCATCCCAGTAATTATAGCGATAAACAATAATATGGTTTCGAAACCATTATCAAAAGATGCACTGCAAAAACAAAATGTTATTGAGTATTTTTGGTTTACTTTCTATTTAAAATATCTTATTATCTTGCTGTTTGTCTTTATTTCTGTTACTCCTGCCCAGTCCAGTTTAAATATTCCACATGTTGAACTAATAACAGACCATTTTATCTTATCTTAGTCACTGAAATATACAGAGGCTTCTGTTGAAAGAACACACTCAGAGCAGTAATTAACCTAACCTCTTAAAAATATATATATAAATTATGAATTTAAAATAAAAAACAGCCTTAAGTGGCATAATTTTAATTTAACTCGGTTCAAATTCTGTAAAAAGAAAATCTCCTATCAAGTAGGGCCGAAATCAGATTAATCATGATGAATCAGCTGTTGAAATAATCTATTTTAATCGATTAATCGGTGCACCTCTAGTAAAAAATATTTCTATACTAGTTACATACATCAGAGTAATTGATAACTAAAACAATCATTAGTTGCAGCCTTTACCTTTGGAATAAAGCAGATCCTGGTCCTGGGTGGCGGTTTGGTCCGCTGCCCCTGCTCGGGTCGGACTGTGGAGGATGGGAACCCCGTAGTGCTCCACTCCGACCCCGGCCCCGGGGCTCCGGAGGGGGGACTTGTGGCAGTGCTCGGGGCTGCTCAGGGTGCTGGTGGTCAGGGTGGCGCTGGTGGTCAGGAACCAGGAGGCCGGCGGAAACGGGTCGGAGCCGGCCTCCCCTTCCAGAACCGACCGCGGGCCGGGGAAGCCCCAGCCTTTGTTGCTGAACTCCTCGATGTACTTGAGGTCGTCTGGAGAGAGCGGCGGCGTGACGTCGTCTCGGTCGGGGCCGCCGGGGCGTGACTTGTCGGGGAGGAACGGTGAGCTGTCCATCAGCCGCTGGAAGTCGCTCATGGAGCAAACAGACTTGGCTCTGAACATAAAACACATCAAAAGCAGTAAATTAAACCATGAGCAAGTAATAAACCAACACAGATGGGTAGGAACTAGTTAAATTTACTTAATTACATTTACATGAGTAACTAATTTGAAAAAAAATTACTTTCAGTAGTAATTCTACTACGCTGTACTTTTCTATTTTAACATTGTCTGTAATAATTTTGTAAACATCTGTGCCAGGGAAACACATTTGTATCATTCTTGAACTGAGGTTAGGGGCCACACATGGCCAGTTGATGATCAGTTCAGGGGCCGCAAATGTTCCCCAGGCCACACTTTGGACACCCCTCGGCTGTGGACGATTCAAAACATGATTTTGGGTAAACTCATTCAGACAATAAGATTTTAGTCTGCTCAGTTATGCCTATTTTGATCTCCTTTCATCTGCTTTAGGGTCTTTTGTCGCTTTAAATTCATGTAAGTTGCTTCTGGCCACGACCCCCAACTCAACATTTACACTCACGTAAAAATGGCTGCAAAGAGACTCGCAATTAAACAACACTACATCTTTGAAAAGCAGAAGCATTTTCTTAGAAATTGGTTTTAATCGCTTTTATTTATTCATTTTATTAATTATTTCTATTCATTATTATTCCTTGTTATGTTTTTTGCCCTTTGGGATCTAAAGATATAAAGGGCATTATAAATAAAATCTATTATTAATTATTATTATTATTATTATGACCAAAATGTTCTGGAACTCCACTTGGGTTGCTAGGTGTCGAGTGGAGTTCCGTTTGGGTTGCTAGGTAACGGGCTGGCTTCTCTTGGTTACAAGGTGAGATTTGTGACATTAGATTCCGAAGGCTTTTGAAACGACTCGTTTTATAGACATGACAAAACATTTCATATATTCCTGAAAATACATGAACTTGTCTCCTTTCTATCCCCACTCAGGATGATAAGTAATCCTAACACATTTCATTCTTTCTTTCTTTTCTTGAAAACCAAATGAAACCTTCTTAATATTTCAAACTTGGCTGAATTATTTATAACCACAGCAGCGTGGATCTCTATCCTGCTTAAAAAGAAAAACCCAAATAAAAGCCACCAGGGACAAGCTGCGTGTCACTTTTAGTAAAAGCAAACAGAATCAACGCAAAGTGTCCCAAGGGGCCGTCGTGTACGAAGGAGTGAGAGAAATGCAGCAAAAGCCTGGAAACGACAACCAGTCAGGCTGAATGGGGTTTAACTCCTACCTGAGGAGACTTCCACCTTCCCTCATCTCCTCTTCTTCTGGGTATCCAGGAGCGCCGTCACCCTCTGAAATCTCATTGAGAGCCTGAAACAACAGATGTAACTCTGTTTACACACAGCAGGGGAGGCAAACATCGGCCAGAATCCCAGAGCTGAAGCTATTCTGCGGCCATATTGTATTAGAAACTTAAACAAAAAAATTATGTTGTGATTTTTGTTATGCTCAGTAACAATTTAGACAAGCATTATGTTAATGAACAAAGTGGTTAGTTTTGTAATCTTAGTAAAATGCAGACAATTTCCTAACCCTTTGGATATTTTCTTTACTTTATTTGGTCTAGAAAATCTTTTCACAGCAACAAACCCTGCTTTTTATTACCAAATAACATGGAGAATTGATGTTAACTGAGCAGGCATAAAAGCTGGATTTTTGTTACTAAACAGTGGGTGGTCAAAGTGGAACTATAATTGTCTTAATAACAAATTTTGTTATTGTGACAGTAGTTATTGCGATAAAGATATTGTCGTTTTAATGTGTTAGATGTAACTTAATAAACTATGTTTATTAGCTTGGAAGACTAATAAACTTTGGTTTTGTAAAAAAAAAAAAAAAAAAAAAAAAAAAAAAACACCCCACACTACAAATGAAAAAATTTTTAAATAC